AAAAATAATATATTAAATCAAATTCATGATACGCTAGAAATTTCAGAAGTTAAGGAAAAATCACTTAAACTTGAATAGTTAACCTATTTAATTATATTAATATTTGAATATATGTATTAACATGCTATATATAAAGAAGACATTGATAATCCGTCGTTCATCTCAATCTAATATATACGAAGTATATTGATATAGTGTTGTTCCACCATGTTGCTCAAGAACAGAGTGCTTACACACTATGGGAGAAGCTTGGTAGCATGTATCAAACAAAAACCGCCCGAAATAAGACTTTACTAATGAGGCGATTAGTAAATCACAAGTTACGAGGTGGTATTTCGGTGTCAGAACACACCAGTCAATTCCAAGATCTTGTTAATTAGTTGACCACCATCGGATTGGTTCTTAAAGATGAAGAGCAGTAGATACTACTCTTGAGCTCTCTACCTGACAGCTGGGAGACTCTTGTTGTCACTCTCAGTAATTCTGCTCCAAATGGGAAGGTGACTATGCAGATGGTCACATATGCCCTAATGAATGAAGAAGCCCGAAGGAAGGAAGACAGGACGGAACAATCATATACCCTCATATCAGAAATTAACAGATGAGGGGAAGGCAGAAATGGAGGAAGAAGTCGAGGTCGAGGTAGAGGCCAAGGTCAAAATAGAGGAAACTCTCAAGTTCGCTGCAGATCACAAGAGAGAGGTATGTCCTTTGAAAACAATACTTGGTTCGAAGGTTATTGCAATTACTGTGGTAATTATGGGCATGGAAAAAGAGATTGTAGAAAGTTTCTACGAGAGCAGCCACAGACAAGTCAAAGTACTAGCCAAGAAGATAGTGCGACTATGGTTAGTTTGTCATCAGACGTGTTGCTTGTTACAAATGGTGAACAAGAGTGTTTACACGTAGGTACTCTTGATGTTGAGTGGGTGGTTGATACAGCTACATCATTTCACGCCACTCCACACAAAAACTCCTTCACATCTTATAAGTCTGGAGACTTTGGAATTGTAAAGATGAGAAACACCAATTTCTCGAAGATTGTTGGCATCAGTTATGTGCACATAACAACCAATGTTGGATGTGCACTTGTGTTGAAAGATGTTCGACGCATTCCGGATCTTAGATTGAATCTTATCTCCGGTACAGCTCTGGATCAACAAGGATACCTTAACCGATTCAAAGAAGGTACGTGGAAGTTATCTAAAGGTTCCTTGATTGTTGCAAGAGGCCATATTTGTGGTACTCTTTATAAAACCTATGTAAAGTTGTGTCATCCAAGTCTCAATTCTGTTGAAGAAGAGACATCACCAAACTTGTGGCACCAGAGGCTAGGCCACTTGAGCGTGAAGGGACTAACAACTCTTGCAAAGAAGGAAGTCATTTCCATGGGCAAAGGTGTTGCTCTAGATCCATGCGAGCACTGTTTATTCGAAAAACAACACAGATTATCCTTCAGTTCTACCAGGAAGAACCATTCAGAGTTACTCAGTCTTGTCCACTTTGGTGTATGTGGACCCATTGAAGAGGAGTCACTTGGAGGAAGCAGATATTTCATGACTTTCATTGATGATGCATCACGGAAGGTATGAGCTTAGTGTCTAAAGAGTAAGGATCGGGTGTTTGATCGTTTCAAACTATTTCATGCCATGGTAGAAAGAGAAACAGGGAAGAAGTTGAAGTGTCTACGTTTAGACAATGGAGGAGTACACTTCTCGGGAATTCTCAACATATTGCGTCGCATATGGAATCAGACATGAGAAGACAGTTCCACGAACTCCACAACACAATGGTGTAGCCGAAAGAATGAACAGAACCATTGTGGAGAAAGTTCGTTGCATGTTGAGTGTGGCTAAACTACCCAAGCCATTATGGGTGAAGCTGTGCTGACAGCTTGTTATCTTATAAACAGATCACCTTATGTTCCTTTAAAATTTGAAGTTCGAGAGAAGAAATGGTCAGGAAGAGATGTTTCTTACTCTCACTTGAAAGTGTTCGGGTGCAAGGTATTTGCACATGTGTCCAAGAAGTTGAGACAGAAGCTTGATCTCAAGTCAAACCCATGCATCTTCATTGGTTATGGAGATGAAGAATTCGGATACCGATTGTGGGATCCCGAAGTGAAGAATGTTATACGAAGGAGAGATGTTGTATTTCATGAAAACGAGTTTCATGAGTGTGCTCCAATAATCCGCAAACAACATACTCCAGAAGACGAAGTCCCTGTATCATCAAACATTCCTCTCAGCGACGAGGAGAAGTATGATACTACTGAGCAAGAGAGTGATGGTTCAGTAGGTAATGATGATGATCACAGTGATGATATTCCTCAGCTGGGGGAGCCTTCATCTAAAGATGAAGCTGAAGGTACTCATGTTCGACGCTCTATGCGAGGCATAGTTCCACAAAGAAAATACTCCATATCCGAATGGATACTTGTTGCCAGCGAGGGGGAGCCAGTGAGCATCGCATGAACGAGAGAAATAAAGAAAAAGGTGGAGGGGGAGATTTGTAGGGATTTTCCACCTTCTTTCTTGGAAGTTGCCAAGAGACACCTTAACATGGAATCGTCTTCTAGGAAGGAGCTATCCAACAAATGAAAATGGTAAGAAGATATGGAGAAGATGGAAGCATTGTCTCTTGTCTCCAAACCAGCCCTATAAATAGAGTGTTCTATTGTTGTTCATATCATCAGTTTAGAAAGTGAGAAAAGTGTGTGAAGAGTGAAATACACTTGGTGTAAAAGTGTATTGGTGAGGATTGGTTTTTTGTAATAGTTGAGTGTGAGAGTTTGCTCCTCCTATTGTAATTCTGTTCTTGATATTGAATAGAAAAACTTTTCAATCCCAATAACAATGGGGTTTATGCTTGTTGGAGGAGATATCATTTTCCAACTATCAAATGCTTGCTTATATCAAAGTTTGGCATAATGCTAAATTATACTCCGTATATCATATGATTTGATTTGTGACATATTCACTTATTTCGCTTCCCAATCATGTTATGCTAGTGAGAAACATTAAATAATTCTTTTATAAACTAATATTCATTGCATTCTTTTTAATGGGGAATACTTCAATCAATTGCAATATATTATCTTCCTCCATTTTTTTCTCCAAAGTTTCAATTCCTTCTAGCTAGAATTCCTTCTATGTCATTTTCACTCGTCTTATATATTTGTCTTTTATATACACAATTTGTTCTAATCTATTTTCTCTCTACTATATACACTATTTGCCCCTATATATTTTCTCTCTGCTGTATACACTTTTGTCCGGGTTTAATGCATCAATCTTGTTGGTGTTATATAAAATTTGCACGTTAACCCTTTATGATTTAATAAATGTGTCAGGTTCATCTCTGTTATGATTAATAATGCACAGAACTCGTCCTAAGAATAATTTTAATAGTTTGGAAATCGTGTGTCTCAATAGTACGATTGATTATGCGAGTGTAGTCAAGATCTGTAAATTATGCAAAAGTTCTAATCATTTTACTTTTTTCAGTAGTTCAATCTGTTCTTGAAGGTGATTTTGTGAATGATTAATTATAAACGCGTAATTTGATGCATTTTCTAAATCATAATGAACGAATGAGTATAAATTATGCGTAGTACTCCCTCCGTCCCCTTTTAAATGTCCCGGAAGAGGGTGGCACGAGTTTTAAGAAAAGTGAGTTTGTGTGGTTGATAGTAATTGATAAAGTAAGAATAAAGTAAGAATGATTTTGAGTCACACAAACTTTAACAAATAAGGTATGGGACAATTAAATAGGGACATCCCAATATAGTAAAATGGGACATTTAAAAGGGGACGGAGGGAGTATATCTCAAGGAATTTGGTGTGTTGGGGTAATTCGCCCGATTCACGATCAGCCCAATACCCCATGAGGAAGGGGATCGAGAACGGCAAAGGTTCACGGGACGATCGTCACGGCCCTTTTGACGCTCATCGTCTATACCTTGGCCCATTTAGACCAGAGAGTCAACAGAGGTCTCGGCTGGAATGCTCGGCAGGCACCGAGCGACGCCCTTCCTTTGCACTCACATGAGTCAGGAATATGAAGCCCCCAGATAGGAACATCCAAGGGAAAGCAAGATATTGGTGGGAAACATATTAAATGCACCAGATATACAAGATTTGATGGTTGGAAAGCTAACCACTCATGATCCTCCATATCACCACTACCACCTACCACATGGTTTAAATGGTACTACCCCATGAGGAAGGGGATCGAGAATGACAAAGGTTCACGGGACGATCGTCACGTCCCTCTAATATTGGGACGGAAGAGAGTGATGTGGTTTTTAAGAAAAGCAGTTTTATGTGGTTGATAATGAGTTGATAAAGTGGAAATAAAGTAAGAATGAATTAGAACCACACAAATGTTACCAAATATGGTATGAGACAATAATAGAGGGACATCCAAAAATGAAAAATGCGACAATTATAGGGGGACAGAGGGAGTAGCATTTATTTAGTGAGGGGTTGACAACTTGTATTCACTAGCATTAGCTCTAATCTCTTGCACTCATAGCACGCTCGACTTGGCTTTAATAAGAACTCGACCCACTTGGTGTCCCCCTCTTATTTGCTATATACTTGTGCTATTTCACTCATACATTCACCAAAATATACTTGTGTCCTACCTCTTATTGCTAGAACGTGTTGGACCTTTGGAGTTGAAGGACTTAACCTCAACATGGTGCGTTTACTCCTATTTAAGTGTTTATTCCTATCTTTTCATTTTGACTCTATACCTCCGTTCATTTTTATCAAATTAAAATATTTGTGTTCTCTCTGCTTGTAAGTTATAATATTGACACAGGAGCTAACTCCCACAAAAACACCATATGACAATATGCATTAGACTATAGGAGATGCTCTTGCTCAATATTTGGATGTGAATGGATGTACAAGCATAATGACAAATAAAATCACCACAACAACATTTCAAGAATGATATACTTTTACTTGTAGTTGTAATTCTTTGAATATTGTGCAAGACTTTGGTCGTCCAACTGTTACGCAAGTAGCAGTTTTTTTATCTAGAATAGTGCAATTTGTTTTTATTCTAACTTTAAAATAAAACCTCAATCACACGATTCTGTACCTAAAATACAACGGAAACAACAAATGAGAAGTACAACATTATGGGACGGATGTAGTATTTTACAACTTTACATCTCTTTCCCTTGTAGATACATATCATTATATTTATAGTATATATATATGCCCTTGTGGCAGGATACTAGGAATGTATATGTAAAAAGGGATATATACATCTCTATTCTGAAATGCACTAGGTGGAGAGTCCTAGGCCAAAATGTTCAAAAGACAGATTTGCTGGCTAAATCATCTAACACTGGTATACTGAAAAAGATTTGTTCTTCCACAAAGAACTCAGAGCTTTCCCTAGTTTTCTTTTTGAGGTTGACTTAAATAGTGGCTTTAAACCATCATCAACAGGCTTGTTCCCCGGATCATTGCTCTCAGGCAGCGAAGACTGTGGACTCGTAACCTCCCAAGAGGGTTCCTTCTGTCTGTGTCTCTGTTCACGAAACAGCATCAAAAGCTTCTTTGCCTTCTGCTTACCCCTACCTGTCCCATTCACTGACATCGACACCAAAGAAGGCACCACCCCTTCTTGTAGGACCATCTCACTGCACTTCTCATTCCTATTACATAGCATCACAAGACATGCGGCAGCTTGTTCCTGTTCTGTGGGCCCACCCATGTCCAGTACAGATGAGAGCCTGCTGATAAGACCTGGCTTTGAGATAATTTCATCTGTAGCAGTCTTACTTGAGGCCAAGTTGGTAATTATCGCCACACATTTTCCTACCAGGTCACCGGAGCGTGACATCATAGGGAGAAGACTGTCAATAATCCTGGATGACATGAGGTGTGGTATGTTAGTTGGGTTGGTGGAAAGATTGAAGAGGGCGTGAAGAGCGTCTAGCTGGCATTGGGTGGGGTTGGAAGAGTGCTTATTAAGAACCCTGATTAAGAAGGGCACGGCGAAATCACTGGTTCCGATGACAGGTTTGACTTCTTCATGACAGGAAAGGTTGAGGTAAAGGGCTGTTGATGCAGGAATAGAGGTGGAAGAATTAGAAGCAATCATTTTTTCCAATAATGGAAGTACTCCAGCTGACAACATCATTCCCTTGTTTCTGCAAAGCAAGTGTACATGACCATCATTTAAAATTATGTGGAGCTCTTCACAAAACAAAAATCAAAAAGAAGAAAATGAAAGCATCCCTTTGGAAGCTGAGATCTCATCTAAGTACAGTTTTCACCATCAAAGCCTCCAAGATCCTTTGATTGCATCTAAATGCTTTTTCAAAGAAAAGTTGTGTTCCTGTTCTAAGTATGATACTTCCATCTGTTCACAGAAAAGTCGTGTTTCGAACAATTTTTTATCCAAAGTAATATCTTGTGACAATTTTTGGGTAATTTGCGAAAAAAAGCTAGTTGCGTGTAGGATAAGTTTAGCTTAATTCATAATATATTTAAAAAAACACAAGTATGATTAACTGAAGTATCGCAGCTGTACCTTGTTAAAGTTTGAAGGTTTTTACCTTGGCCAAACCTGAATCTTTTTTGGGATGGAGGTAGAATAATCAATAATATAGCACAGAAATCAGAAAAGAAACTAGTGGTCCACCCAAAGGACTGTTATAAATATCAATAAATTTAGGAAAACATATTCCCAAAAGAAAATCTTTTACGTGCTAAAACCAGAAAATCCGAAAACCAAGATATTTTCATGAAATTAAACGGATCCTAAAATTTTCATAAAACTTGAAAATGATAAAAAAAAATAGCACCTAAAATAAGCAGATGACAAGGAGTTAGCTTGAACAGATGAATACTTAATAAGGAGCACACAAATTAATAGGAAAAAGAGAGTACCTATTATTATCCACGCCTAGGTTGAAGAGAGCCATAGCACCAATTTCCTGGGCCATTTCATCCCTAGCTTCAACAGCGGACTCCAAAAACAGCATCAAAGCCTCAAGAAAACCATTTGCCCCCATATACATTCTTACTTCTTCATCATCCTTCACCAGAGTCCGAATCTGTTCAACAACTTCACACTTCTCTCTTAAATTAACCTCTTGTTCTAAAGTTTCTAAAATAGCATCACATCTTTCAATGGCACTACACAGACTTTCACTCTCTTTATTGACCTTTGACTTGCAGGACTCGATGCTTTCAACGGAAATGGAAGTTGCAGATTCACTTTGGGAGAGTGCCAGTCTCCAATAATTGAGGTCAAGAGACTCTGGGGGGCCATCGGGAATAGGAACCCCATTCTGTTCGCACCAACTAGCAACCAGACCTTTTACGCAGTAATTGCACGTCAATCCAAGATGAGGAAGCTCCTGTTGACTTTTAGGGCACGTCTTGTGCCCGTCGTCAAACCACTTCTCAATACATATCCTTTCATATGTTTGCCCAGAAGCAATGATCACTGGGTCATACATTAGCTGCAATGAGATTGGACATCTTAACTCTTCAGGTGGGACAGGATTCTGGTCTGACCTCCCAAAGTTTGGTTTAAAATTAAAAGAACTCGGCTTTGAAAGTTGTGGGTGGTCAAAGGAATGATTATGGCTGTCTAGAGATTCCTGAATGTTTGGAGAACATGGGGTTGAACATTGTGAATCATTTTCATCTGAGAGTTCACTTCTAAACAATTTGGAATATTTGCTTAGCAAGTACAAAAGGTAAGCAACAATTGACTCTTTTCTTTTGTCTTCTTCTGACTGTGCTCTTTTTATTAGTTTTCTCAAAGCTCTTCTTTCTCTAAGAGATGCACGTGAAGAGGTAATACCTAGTCTAGAAGCAGACTTATGAAAAGTCTCGAGTTCACTGTTGTCGTTATCTTTGTTGTTGAATTTGCGACCTTGCTGAAGTAATCCAATGATGTCATCACCAATTTGTTTCTCCGTCGGATCAATTGAGAACTCAATGTCCTCAAGTTCACCAAGAATTACAGAAATCTGAAACAAGGTATATTATTGATGCTTAAAAAATATGCGGAACTTGAGCACTAAAAACTGTAAAAAGCATGCAAAATGGCAACAAATGGTGCCTAGTAATTATTGGCCCTTAAAAAATGATAAACGAGTAATGGCACAATGCACAAGACTGCACAATGTTAAACCCTCTGTCCCAAAAAAATTGTCTTGTTTGAGTAAGATACAACTTTTTTTACTCAACTCAAAATTATAAGCTTTTACATGCTACGGATACATATACTCCTAAAACTTAATTTTAAGATTGCTTGAGAAATTGACTACAACCGCTTGCTCTTTGGCATTACTGTTAGTTGCCAAAAATTAAAGTTTCCTTTGAAAACCAAACTTCTGACAAAAAAAAAATTGAAACGGGATTTTTTTGTGGAACAGGTAATGAATTTGTTCTTTTACAGAAAACATTATCATAAAAATCATTTGTCAAAGTAATATTCTAGGAAGTAGGAAGTGAACTAAAAAACAACAGCGAATATTACCTGACAACCAATGGTTTGTGGAACTATATCTTCAACCCGACGTAGACCATCTTGTAGAGCACATCTTGCCCTCTCAAACTTAAGCACAATAGAATCTCCTGTTATTGCCTGATCAAGTGTGAAAAACAATTTCCATTGCATCAGATGACGAACTACTTTAAAGGATGAGGGTATGATAGGATCATGGAAAATGAAAGTGATGAACGAAGTGCTAACTGCTAAAGGAAGTTATTTTCTAATGCTTGGTTTTAATTGAGTTTAAGTTTATCTATTATACCCACCCAAACATTTTGTTCCTTCTAATTTTCTCTCTGTTTTCCTTGCCATTCCCCCTAGCATTTTCCAAATTTCAAACAATCTCTTAATCTTAAGTACAAATTACCGCGCAGAGGTTTCACATTGCCACACACAGGCACAAATTAATTAGTTCCCTTGCTAGTTCTGATGAACAATAGATCGACGAGAGTGGCACATTGAAGCTCATTGACCCATTCACAATTATGAACAACCATTACTAGATCGTAAATAGATGCAATGAACAAAAAAAAAGTTACCCACCAGGTAAAGTTTACTGCAATCAGCACAGTGCTGAAGAATGTTCTTTGTCTTCTCAAGGGCTATGTGCAGAGAACACAGTGCCTGAATGCCTGAAGTGCTCCTTGGTCGAGCTGCTTCCAGATCAGGAAATATGGCCAAAACTTTGGCATATACATCAGATAGAACTTTGCACATTCCTCCATGTAGCTGCAGTAGTAAATGCTATCATTATTATGTAAACAGCGGGAGAAAAAAATTGACTAAAATATAGGGGAAGAGAAGGGTGGCATCTGTTTTTAATTTACTCTTACAACAGATGGTTTGAAAGCAAGCGAAGTTGAAAAATTATATTTAAATAAAGATATAGTATTTCATATTCATAGATTAACAAATATTTAAAAAATAGAATAACCACTATTAATCATATCCTCCGAAATCCTCATACCAAACAAGGTCTAAATGATTACCACAAGTCGCATTTTTATAATACAGAAAACAGTTCTCTGGAACCAAACACGTATACACCAGTCATTAGTCAGTGCATACCTTAGGTTCACCAATCGAGCACAAATTCCTTTCAACCTCAGAATTATCCATTATATTTCACATCTAACAGGAAATGAACACCTCCTCGTCTTATCTGCATACTAACAATCAGTATGAAAGTTATTCGAAGATGGACCTTAACCATCAATACAAGTGAACTAAGTGATCAATAATTTTGCTCCAATCAAGTGGTTTCTCTTTTCTGAAGTGTATGAAATGGAAAGACAAAACTAGACATCTCAAACCAGAAGCGAATATGACTATATGAGCTAAGAGTGCGATCATTGACAACACCACAGCTATTGAAAAAGCATGTAGCGCTTGACGTCATTTTAAAAAAAATTGAAAATCTTTTTTTTGAGCTGAAATTTTTTTATTATACGTATTAATCATAATAATAATAATACGTATTAATTTTATTATTATTATTACAGACATTTGCATTAAGCCTTTTTAATTGAAAAAATAGCCAGAGGATAACTTCAATTTTCAATTATGAATTTAAACGACATTTATACCTATTGAATTACTGATGATGATTGATGAACAACGAAACCTCTACATAAATACTTACCAAAATCTCAATACAATGAGAAAGACTAGCCCAATAGACAGACAAAGACCCTCCAGTTCACGAGATATTAAATTTTTGGGTGGAGAAAAATGAAAAAATTGGAAGCCTAGCAAGCATAAGATACTGAGTATAGGAAAAATAGAGGTAACAAAAGAATTAAAAAAATCCCATATGATAATGAAAATTAGGGTTTGAGGCTCAATACACGCCGAAATCAATAGAACAGCAACTCTGGGGGCTCATCAACTCAGCAATAAAAGAAAAATGTTTGACAATAGTTGATCGTGTGTTAGTATACATACATCGTTATAAATATACGGTGGAGTTCGCGAATCTGATCAGAGGATTTTAGAGAGAGAAATCAAGAAAGGGAGAAGAGGGAGTTTCTTCAGATTTCATTAAAGACGAGAGGAGGAAGGAATAGCCTTCGTGAAAGAGCTGAATAGTTTCACTGTTACACAGGGAATATTAAATACTCCCTCCGTGAATAGTTTCACTGTTACACAGGGAATATTAAATACTCCCTCCGTCCTAGAAAATTTTTCCCACTTTGACTTTGACACGGAGATTAAGAAAGTGAAATAAAGTGGAAATATGTGGTTGTAGTTGTGTAAAAAAAAAGGTGAAATGAATGTGAACCACACAAATTGTCGAAAAATGGTAAGTGAGAAGAATTTTTTGGGACGACCCAAAAAGGAAAGTGAGAAGAATTTTATAAGACGAAGGGAGTATTTAATATTCCCTGTGTAACAGGGAAACTATTCAGCTCTTTTACGAAGGCTATTCCTTCGGGTGCAGCTCCTCTTCATTTCTTTCTCTCCATTTTCCCTCCATTTCCTTTTTACTTCCTATCTATCTCTACTTTTTTCTCTATCTTATTCACCAACATACCTCACCCTTCATTTTCTCCTCTCTATCTCTCTCATAATGGAACTCTCCGATTAATGGAGAGGATCCAAATTCTATTCCTTCCCCATGATGTGATGTTAGTTTTCATGATTATTTTTGTGTAAATACTTTTTGTGTATGTGATGAAAGACCTATATACATTATAAGCGTATTGTCAATTTTTAAATGTTGTACTCGTATAATTTTAAGAATAGTAAGTACTTTTTGGTGGAAATTACGCGCACGGTCCAATTTGCTGGACTACATATCATTTATGCCCCACTTAGTTTTACTTTTAATTTTAACTTTTGAATTTTCAACTGTGTTTTATTCTTTTCACTTCTAGACTATTCTTTCTACCCTGCACTCGTATACGAGAAGGATGAAGGCCGATTTCAAGCAACAGGAAGGCCGAAGATGGCCGGACAAATATACCGTTCGGAACCCTCGTCGCACATCTTCGAGGACCAGAAGAACCCTCATCGTGGTCTTCACTTTTGCTACCAGTGCAATCTGCAAGGATGAGGAGTTCAAAGGAGGCCATTGCTAGACCGTTTAACCGACAGAGAAGGCTGGGATTTCATAGGAGATACCTGGGACCAATCGGTATCTAGCCATCTCGCGACGGGAGTGTTTCCATCGGAGATGCACGCAGGGCTTCAAAACGAGCGAAGAACCCTCTCGACCTGCCTTCCCAAGGACTTCGGCCCAATCTGCAACCACTCTGGGAGGTACGTACTCAGATGTTGATTTTAAACCATCTCCAGATGTTCTTTAGGCCAACAATGAGGGATGGCAGTGAGGTCTCGACGAATGAGGGACTGAGGTTTGGAGATCGATCAAAGTGAAAACTTGGGGGAGGAACGAGCTGTGAGCGGCAGCAGAGTTCATACTCGGGATTGTTCGCGGGTGGCTGTTGTGTTGGTCCGCACCTGGGTATAATTCCATATTCATTTCTTCTTCTTCTTAAACAGCAGTAATTGAAAATTCATCAACAAAAAGCAACAAGGTGAAATAAAAAACAACAATATATAATTGATGTTGGACCTTGTATTGGAATTAGTTACTGCCAAAAAAATTGAAGTGTTTTACATCAAACAAATTGGTTCCAGTGAGACACTCACGATGAAGCCTTGATGATTTGCAGAAGAAACTCTTCCAAAAATTCAAAGGAACTAAGCTGAAGTGAAGTGACCTAAACTATGTAGCTAAAATCACATTCTTAGCATTTTGGAAAATGGGATTAGATGTTTATTGGTGAAACCTGCAGGAAAGAGATATTTGATCTAATCATGTGCCATCCTACTAAGCTCTAGCAAATGGGGTTTGATATTTATTGGCAAATGGGGTTAGATGTATATTAATGAGCCATCCTTAGATTTACAACCCTCACACTAGCAAGCTCTAGTAGAAAAGTTTCATAACTCTGTCACTCGTAAAAATCAACTCACAACAATCTTCTACTGACTTATGCTTTTAGTTAGCTAATCAGTAATGACCTCTGGTTTGAGACATTAGAGAGAGCATAAGTACATGTAGAGATGTGAAGTAAAGCTTAATTGCTTATGAAATGTTTGCCACCATAATTTACATTGACAAACATAATTGCATCAGTTTCTAGTTTTGCATGCCTAAATTTGATGGATGAGCATTGCATTCTTGAAGAAAGACATGTGTCTTTTAATAGCAAACGAGTCCACAAAGTCATATGTATGGAGTTGTATTTTTGTGCTCATTTAATACAACCACAACTTGCTCTATATTGAATAAATTTTGAGTATTCTTTTTCTAAATTTTAGGAACTTTTATAAGCTTTAAAGAAAGTATTCCCCTGGTCCTAAGCATTAGTCATTTAAGCAGAAGAAGGCTTCTTTCACTGTAAGCATTCATTCTTAACTTAGACTTCTATTACATGCTCTATACAGCTTATAGTTGAAGTAGACGTTTCATGACCATTTGTTTCTTCTCACTGGTATAGCTATTAAGATAGTCATGGTTTAATAGCTTGGATTTTTCTGAGTGAGCAATATATACTTCGTGGGAAATAGTCATTATGCATCTTTTATACGAGTGAACATATTAATTGAGAAAAATACAATTTTGATCATGAAGAGGGGAAAAATTAATTATGTATTCATTGGAACTAGTATATATATACTCCGTATTGCTTTAATTGTTTTTGTATTATATTATGTTTCTTTTTGTTGCATGTTGTTTCTTTTTGTTGATTTTTGTTGCATATTGTTTCTTTTTGTTGATTTTTGTTGTACCGTGTTTCTTTTTGTTTCATTGCATTGCTTTCATTGTTCATTTTTTATGACTAGTTTTTATTGCTTTGTTGTAGCTGCACATGGTGCAGAAGATTATGGAATTTCCTTCCATGAAAGGTTAATCTTTTTGTTCTTTATAGACGTGGGTGGGAGAGTTTTGAATGTAGAGGCTGTGTAATAGGATATAAGAAGTATGTTATTGCTGGTTTATAACCTAGTTGTAGTTTTCTGCTTTTTGATTTTTAATGTTAGCTTTTTCTTCATCAATTTTTGCCACGACCCAGTATTTGTTGTGTTTGGCCAATTCTCGAGTCAAATTCTTTTTGGTTTCCCTAGGTAGTTCTTCAACACAACTGTGAATTCTTTGTAGCACTCTGAGAAGCCTTCCCCGAGTCAATCTGAAGGTAATCCAGTAACTATTTTGTAACCACTCAAGGAATTGCCACTTGGAGCCTTGTGAGGCAAATCGTTGAAAGTGTAAAGCAAGCATTGAACAAAAGCGTAGTTCATCTCTTCTCTTGTCTTTCATTCAGGCATGCATTGCCCTGCACTACTGAAGGAATGATAGTTACTCTTTGAGTTGGTCTACTTTTCTGTGTTCAAAAAGCTTGACAGAAGTAGGGAAAATATTCCTGTTAAGCTTGATAGTTTGAGATTAATTATATTGCAAACATTTATATTAAATCAGTAATTGGTCTTTCGATTTGTTCTTGGGGATTCTAAAGCTTTGTTTCAACAACTGATTTTTATTTATGTTATTTGTTATTTATTTATTTATGTTTATATTTGTTTGTAGTAACCCCATGTATATTTATGTGTGTTGTGGTGTGTGTGAAGCACACACACAATAATAATATTGCACTTGTGAAAATCAAGAAACATAAATAAACAATAAAAAACAAGGCATGAAAAAGCATCATCAAAAAGCAACATAAAACAACCATTTGCAACAAATATAATAATATGGTATATCTTTTAAATAATGGAAAAAACTATTTTTTTTTTACTTTTTTAGATTACAGTTTTGCCTAAATTCTTTACTATTTCTAAGTTTTAACATCCTAATTATCTTGTTTTGTCTTTTTGTTTAATTCTTTTATATGTTTTTTAGTTGTTCCGAACTTTTCCAATTTTTAAAATATATTTTCAATATTTAATTTACACTCTTTTCAATATTGAGATATTTTTAAATATGAAATTTTATTTTCTTTTTTTCTTGAATTTTGTCAATTTTGATTTTTATTTTAACTTTTACAGGTTTATATGTATTGTACATAAAAAATTAACTATTTTTTGTATAATTCATTGAGAAAACATACTTTCTGTTCTGTTTTACAACCTTTCCCAATTTTTAACTTTCCAACATTGTTTTCTTCTTTATTTTTCTAAATTTTATATGTAAGTTTTTAAACTTTTTTCTGATTCAGTTATAAATTTATATTTTTTCTTAAGTTTATAAATTTAATTAAATCTTTTCAAGTTTGAGATTTTTTTTATATTTTTTTAATTTAATTTTTTACTTTAAGTATTTAGATTTTTATTAGTTCTTGTATTTGGTTTTATCTTTTTTAATTTTAATAATTTTGACATTTCGGCTTTGTATTTTTTATTTAAAAGCAAAAGGATTGTAATTGGTGTTCTTTCTATTTTTCTATTGCTTTGTAATTTAGGTGACTATTCTTCCAGTTTGCAAAGTTGTTATCTTTAGTTACATTACTTATGCACGCTTCCAGGGACAAAAGCTTCCCGTAAGAGTGTGCTACAGAGCCCACGGTCTATTTGTGAAAAGAGAAATCTAATTAGTCTATTTTTGAAATAACAAATTAAATGTGAAAAAGGTGATATTATTTATACCTTTTGGACTATTTGTGAAAAATCCCCTACTTTTTGTGTATGTGGTGGATTACCCGGCCCGTTCTCACAGACGGGTATGCCATTTGGTTAGGTCCATTTTTTGCGAATCGGGCCAGGCCCGTCCATACATAATGGGCAGAAAATGTATAAAAAGTCCGGTCCTAGCACGGTCCGAATTGAACCCGTTTTTGTGAGGGTCTAATTTGGAGATCTAAGTAAAGGCACATACTCTAGTCGGGATGTGGCCAAATCTTTTTTACTCATAAATCAAAGAAGTATAAAGAAATTAACTCTAGTCTAATTTATTTTGATTATTATACAATTCAACGTACAACTCAAAATTTAAAGTTTGATAAAAAAGATTGATGATGAGCTAAATAAGGGTTACCAAACGAGCTCGTACTTACGTAAATATTTAAAGTCCATGTTCACT